TTGATTTTTTACAGAGAGGAAGGGAGAGGGATAGAGAGTTAGAAACATTGATGGGAGAGAAACATCGATCAGCTGCCTCCTGCACACCTCCTACTGGGGATGTGCCCGCAACCAAGGTACATGCCCTTGACTAGAATCGAACCTGGGACCTTTCAGTCCGCAGGCTGACGCTCTATTCACTGAGCCACACCGGCTAGGGCAAAACATAACTTTTAAAGAGCATCACTTTTTGACCGCCTCATGTCTTTTTTAAAATTGTAGTTAGTAGGTCTCTGGCTGGTTTGGCTCAGTGGCTATAACGTTGACTTTTGGACCCAAAAGGTTCCAAGTTCAATTCTGGTCAAGGGTATGTACCTGGGTTGCAGGCTCCTCCCCAGCCCGGGCCCTGGCCGGGGCTCGTGCAGGAGGCAACAGATCGATGTGCTTCTCTCACATTATATTTTTCTCTGTCTTTCCCTTTCTCTTTTACTCTCTCTAAAAATCAATGGAAAAATATCCTCTGGTGAGGATTAAAATAAAAAATCTATAATAATAAAAGCATAACATGCTAATTAGACCAGACGTCCTTCTGGATGTCCTTTCGGACGACCTTCCAGACGAAGCCGGGGCTGGGAGGGAAGCCGGGGTCCCAGGTGCCAGTGGGAAGCTGGTGCTGGCAGCCGGGGGTGGGGGTGGGGGGTTTAAGGTGTACTCTTGCACAAATTTCGTGCATCGAGCTTCAAGTAAGTAAGTAAATAAATGATAAAAAAATAAATATATTTTTTATAGTTAGTTATTTAGGGAATAAATATATTCCCTAAAAATGTAGCGAAATTGGACACAGCGGGTTGTGGGACTTTTACAGCACCTTTGCTGATGTGGGAACCGTGGTTGTGCCCTGGGCCCCAAGTGTATCCCTTGCCTGTGTTGTGTGCGAGCTCAGTGGTCCAGAGCGGACAGCGTAGCTCCCTGCGTTCCCTGGCATCTCCCCCGCAGCTGAGGAGTTGGTCATGGCTTGCTTGCTTTTCATGAATTTCATTTCATTGTTTAGCTTAGAGCCATTGCAGAAGTACTTGAACATGGTTATGTTCATTTCAAGTTCAAAGTCACTGCTAACAGGGCAGCTGATTTTCTCGCCGAAGTTTAAATTAACCTGTTTTGAACATGGTTGTTTATATCCCCCTTGACACTTTGACCAAATATCAGTGCCTTGTTCTCAAAACAGTGTTAGTGTTTAGGGTAAGGTAAGGTGGACAACATATTATTTCTCTGAAAAGACAAGGAAAAAAGGTCCCAAGAGCAGTTAAGAAATCATTAAGCATTAACAGTATTTGTCGCTTGTGAACGTATGGAAAGGTAGCCAAATGGAAAGGATTTCCGGGGTCTAATTCAGCGCCTTCCTGCGGTGTATTTCTCGCGCATGTAACTTGTCTCGGGCACCTCCCTGCTTCCGTGGTGTGACCGTGACCCGGTCCCCTCGGGAACACTGCTCCCCGCGTGTTTCCTTTGGGGAGCAGGACGACCCAGCAGCTTCACACACCTTAGTTGCCAATTCTTCCAGCGACCTTTGGCTCTGGTTAGGTATTTCAAATATTCGTCATGATAGGCCAGTCTTAAATGGGTAAACCAAACAGTGATCTAAAAAATGCTGCAAATACTATTTTTGACTCTTATTGTATCTGGTGTGTAAGGTTCTGAAATAGCATTTTCTGAATTGTAACCATTATGTTTCCTCCTTTCTTCACCCAGAAAAGGATTACAGCAGTCTGTGTGACAAGCAGCCAATAGGAAGACTTCTCTTCCGGCAGTTCTGTAGCACCCAGTACAGCCTGAAGCGGTGCATTGAGTTCCTGGACGCGGTGGTGAGCGGTTTCTCTGTGTTGACCCAGCTGCTCTGTGCTGGAGGGGACCTGAGTTAGTGGACTGGGCAGTGGGGGGAGGAGGAGTGAGTGGCCCCCATCTCTCACTCCTGTGGCATAAAGCGGCCACTCACAGGACTGCATCTCAGGGCTGGAGGGCACCTGTGCTTGGTGAGTAACTTTGAAACTTGCTGCTTTAATTTGTGAGAAGGTTGGACAGCTAATGAAGACCATGTGCTTATGGGCAGCCCCTGAGAGGTAGCCTTCCTCAGTCATAGCAGGTGCTGTCTGCTTCCTGCACTGGCCCCGAAGCATACGGGGCAGTAAACTTAGTGTAAGAAGGATAGTCAGGGCGAGTGGAGTTTATATGACGTATAAAATGTTCCACATTCTCAGGTTTGTCATTTCCTGAGATTTCCTGATAGGTAAAGAAATCCTGCGTTTCTGAATCTGGAGAGATAGCTCTGGCAAATGTAGAAGCTTGAAACTGAAATTCAGAAGGCAACTTAACAGTAGAAAATTGGTAAACTCTAGCAGAAAAGCTCTCTTACCAAACCTAGGGCACTTTCTCTGTCCTGGGGGTATCAGCAAATATGTATTGACTACTTCCTATACCTAGAGCACTATCTTATGTCATTGAGTGTTTACTCACTTTTTTCTCTGACGTAGCTTCTAAAATACACGTGTTTATAATGTATTCTTTCAGAAAAACACTTGAGGCTCTTGACTATTTTGTTGTTTGCTCCCTACTCCCTGGGGCTCCCCCTTTCCTTCCTGGTACCTTTACTAGAAAAAGACGAGGCTTGTGAAGGAGGCAATTACCTTTTAAAGGTAGAATTCTGATGCAGTGGGGCTGCCTGCTGGGCTCTAGTAGAATGTGATATGTCTAACGTATCCTATATAATAAAAGGCTAATATGCAAATTGTCCCCTCGACCGGGAGTTCAACCGGGAGTTTGACCGGGGGGTGGGGCCTGCCAACC